CTATATAATATTTGTTTGAATGTTTTGCCACAAGTAAGTGGCGGTTAATGCCGTGACTTGATGCCTTGCAAACGGTGTATCATCTATTAGATGATTGAACACCTTAACATAACTCCTGTTTGATTTCCAGAGGGGGGTAAAACGCCTATTGTGCTTTTCATCATGGGAATGGTGTTGGCTGGTGGTGGCCACTGGACAATCAACTTGATGCAGGAAGTGATACATTTGCAGTCCCAATTCGTTACACATGTTGAACTTCTTTCACACCGATCGTGACCAACCCTGCTATGTATGCATGAACTTCTTTAGTACCGTACGTAGCCAACCCTGTTATGTATGTTGAACTTCTTTAGTATCGTACGTAGCCAACCCTGTTATGTATGTTGAACTTCTTCAGCACCGTACGTAGCCAACCCTGCTATGTATGCATGAACTTCTTCGGCACCGTACGTAGCCAACCGTGCTGGCAATGATAACTAAACACTACAACAAGCAATTGTGAATACATGAATGTGTCAATATGGATGATTGTTTAAAAGTGCATAGCTCCATGACGTCATAATATCAGTGAGGAAGAGCATTCCAGACGGCCGCAGAAGCGCGTCCGAAAGCGCCGCGCGATGCTCGGTGATCACCGCCTTTGTTCGATGGCTGGCCAAAAGGCCACCGCTGCTGCGAGGAATGCCCGGAGTTGGCGTGGTGATGGTTTATGCTCCTTTACCAGATCAGCAAAAGCATCGTGGTTCGTTTTGTAGCGAGCGCATTGTGTGCAATGAGCACGACCCCAACATCTCGCCCCCCTCAACGCCCTCCACAGCGTCGTCCTTTGCAGTCTAAAGCTCTTAGCCTTCTTCAAGTGTCCGCAGCGCTCACAAGATTTCCGGATGGATTCCTGGACACGTGGCCACGCGCCTCTCATCTCCTTCCATGGCCCCCCCCCCCACCCTCTGTCTCTCGGTCCCTCCACACAGTGGGGAGCCCCCCCCCCCAACTCCACTATGGACGGCGCTTAGTTCTTAAATCTCTCCGTGGCCTTCTTACCGCCCCCACCTCGTCATCTCGCCTCTCTTCATCTCCTTCCATGTCCCCTCTCGTCCTTTTCGTTCCCAGTCTTCTCTCTCTGTCCCTCTGTCCCTGTCTCTCTATCTCTCTCTCTCTCTGCCCTCAGTGTAAACAAATGTACAAAGTCTCCCGTAGCCAAACGCTGCGGTGACCTCCAGTGGAGGTTGGCACACTGCACGTTGCCATCGGCCGTGTGGCTCAGCCGAATCTCGCCAGGGGTAACAGACTTGGTGCATTTCCTGCGGTGCCAGGGAGGATCTGCCCCACCGGTACTTACACTGCCAGAGACTCAAACTCAATGTTCCGCCTCTTAAAAGACATCTTCAGGAAACTGGGGGTGCCCTTCTACAACAGCAGCTTCGTAAATGAGGTGGTGGTGCCTTACCTGGCTAACAAGCGCCATGACCTCGCCAACTTCGCCTGTGCTCAGGCGAAGTTGGCGGTGTACAGAACGAGGAAAAAGACGCTGCAAGGTGACACTGACGGCTGCTCTGTGCTGCTTCCAGTGTTCAGGGGCCTGCTCAAGGCGCGGCTCCGGCTGGAGCACGCCACGTACCACACACACGTGTCGGTGATGTGCAGCGCGTCTTCTTCGAACGCTGGGGAGCCGGACAAGCCCCTCTCTGTACCAGCGTGGACGGCACCCCCCACGTGTTCACCTTCTGAAGCGCTCGTTCGTCACCGTGGCGTGCGCGATGAACGCCACAACCAGCACCACGTGGCTTTTCTTTAGTGTTGTGCATTGCACATTTAGCGCCACAGCGCGTGGATTTATAGCGTTTGTTATTTGTGTTGCTGGTGACTTTGTGTGTTTCGTATCGGAATCGCCTCCAGCGCTGTTGCTGCTTGCGGCAATAAAAGTTGTTTTAAAAGTCTAAAGTCTCTCCATATATATCTCTCTCTCTCTCGGTCTCTGTCGCACTGTCTCTGTGTCTCCCTGTGCCCAGTCCCCGTGTTCGGTCCTCCCTCCTTGCACACCTCCACTGGAATCAACTTCCCCTGTATATTGAGCAGCACTGCCCCTAGACTCAGCACTGCCCCTAGACTCAACACTGCCCCTAGACTCAGCACTGCCCCTAGACTCAACACTGCCCCTAGACTCAACACTGCCCCATAGACTCAACACTGCACCACAGACTCAACACTGCACCATAGACTCCGCACTATCCCATAGACTCAACACTGCACCACAAACTCAACACTGCACCATAGACTCAACACTACCCATAGACTCAACACTGCCCATAGACTCAACACTGCACCACAGACTCAACACTGCTCCACTGACTCAACACTGCACCATAGACTGAGCACTGCACCATAGACTCAACACTGCACCATAGACTCAACACTGCCAAATAACCCAACACTGCACCAGACTCAACACTGCAACACTCAACGCTACACCATAGACTCAACACTGCAACACTCAACGCTACACCATAGACTCAACACTACACCATAGACTCAACACTGCACCTGTACATTAAGTACCCCTCCTTAACCTCCTTCTAGTCCTCTCTTAAATCCTCACCTCTTCTCCATCGTCCATTCCCTTCCTCGTCCCTCCCCTCACCCCTCCACTCCTTCCCGTTCCTCCCAAAGGACCCCTCTCTCGCCGTCGCTCATTCCCCAACCCTTGCAGCACTGCCCCCCGTCAACTACATCACTACACTCCGTCTCACCGCTTTGCAAGCCGCGTCAAGCGCCTCGAGTGAAGGGCGCTCTCTCTCCGTATAAATGACACTTCGATTGCAACAGACGCGGTGTGTTAATAAAAAAACGCACGCAAGTAAAAGTCCACGTTCCACTGGATGTGTTTTAATACGATTATCCGTACAGGAATAGTTAGTTGGTCATAGGACCTACAATTGACTTTGAGTAGGGTTACTCCTCCCAAAGGGGTTTTTTATGTTTGCGCATTAAGAAACGTCACAATGGCCTCGCCTCGTGTGGGCACGCGGGCGTCGGATTTCCACGACGTTCACACCGTTGCGACAAACGCGGCATTCTACGCTGGCGACGCGCGCTGTGGCATGTCGCCGTGCTCACGCACCCTCGAGTTTTCCGCGACGGAACTGTGATTGGCGATTGGCACATTTGTTGCCTTGTGCTTTTCGGGGTTTTTTTTTTTTGACACTTCGCAGTTCGCTCGTCACGAGCCCGACGACACCACGGGGGTCTTCCTCCATCTTGTCAAACTCGACGACCCCGGGAGTCGAGCAATGCTGACGACGCACGTGACGGGGCACGCCGGTCACAACGTGAGCACGTGACCGCGAGGGTGCGACGGAAATGTGACCGTCACGTGACGGGGGCCGCGGAAGTCACGTGATGGGGCTGTGAGTCACGTGACGGGGGCCGCGAGAGTCACATGACGGGGCTGCGAGTCACGTGACGGGGGCCGCGAAGGTCACGTGACGGGGCTACACGGTCATCTCCGCCAAACATTCGGCAGAACACCGATTCAATAGGCAAAAGGCAAAGGCGCAGCCCTGCAATTGCTTGCTCACCCGCTCCAACAGCATGGGGAAGCCTTCATCCAGCAGTGGATAGGCAATGGATGGTGACGACGACGACGACGGTGATAGTTATTTGATAATGCCCGCAATGTTGGCGACTGTCTCCTAAGGTTACGATAAACCTTAACGCTCCCTCAATGGCTTATGACCGCACGGTATTGTTACAACCTAGCATGCTTCTTCAATCCCACAGTTACAATAAACTACTCTGGTTTATAACCTAAAACAATTGAAAAGAACGCGCCATGAGTCCATTCACGAGCACAATCACCCTGCGTGTACGTTTGCAAGATAAATAAATAACGCCTCTTTTCCCCATGCATTGCTCCACGTACGAGCACAAAAGTGAATATACATTTTTTTTTTCGTTTACACATCCCATCAGCGACACGGCCTTCTGAGAGCGCATCTTGTCACCGGCAGCACGCACTGCTTCCGCGCGAACGAAAACTCTGGACCGGATTCGGCATTCATTGTCCCATCGGCGGTAAGGTTTCGCTTGAACCATCGGTACAATACGTGAAAACTCTGGACCGGATTCGACATTCGTTGTCTCATCGGCGGTCAGGTTCGCTCGCATCGGTTTAACGGAGCGGCAGAATCAGGCTCGCATTGCTCGAACCAAGACTTCGCTTGTGCTGGGAACCACCCAATGCTGCACACGAGGGAGGAGGTAGGGGCATGGGAGGAGGGGGGGGGCGGGGATGGAGTTGGGTTATCCGTTATGCAATCACGCGTCAGCGATGACGCCGCACGGCGAGCGGCAGGGCGCTGGACGCGGCCGTGTTGCGCAAGCCACTGGCAGGCGTTAACCAGCACGACTACCACCGCGACTTTTATTTTACCCGCTGCAAGGCCCCCCCGGCCCCCCCCCCCCCCCGAGCCAAAGGCGACCCTGGCTGTCACGAAGGGTAGCTCAACGAAGTGGCTTATCACCGTGTCAAAATTTACACGCGCGTTGATTCTAAACGTGGAGGGGGAAAAACCGGAGCGCCCGGAGAAAAATCCAGGCGGATACGGGGAGAGAGAGCCAGAGAGACAGAGAGACACGCAAACTCTAAATATATAGCAGGCATCAGGGTCGGTATCGAACCCCAAAAAACTCCTGCATACCAGGCGAGGGAGTGAACCTCTCCAAGCCACAGCTTTCGCGGCAACCGAACGCGACCTTGGCGAGAACGCGACATCTCCCATAGGACAGGGCCCTGCTATCGTCGAGGTCAAGAGGTCGCCCAAAGCAAGCATGAGAACGGAGAAGATAAAATGCGCTAAAATGCGCGCTGCAGTAATGCTTCAGCGGACAGGGGGCCCCCCGCTTTTGGTTGCGAGCACTGGAAGACGAATGCTCAAGAGCGACTCGTACAACAACGACAACAACAACAACAAAAAAATAAACAAACACCCTTCACTCAATTCCTACAAAATGCGTCCCCACGCTCTTCGCCTACAAACGCACTCCCAACGGTGCCGGGGGAGGGGAGGGGGGGACAGCCGAACCCAGAGCCCCGTCCTTTGCCATGCGGCGCCACCGTGCCACCCGGCCCTAGTAGGACCTGGGCGGCTGCATGGGGGCGGCCGCCGGCGGCGGCGGCGGCAAGGCCTTCATCTTGACGCAGTACGTCGCGAGTTCCTGCGAATCCGTGACGTGGGGGTGCATCGCCATCACGCGGTCCACCACGGGCTGCGGGAAGACGCCGCACAGGTTCCGGAAAACCTGCGCCCGCAGCTGCTCCGTGACGCCATCGTCGCCGCCGCCGGCGCCACCGCCACCCGCGCCCACCGCGGCGTTCTGAAACGGCGCCGGCTGAGCGATGGGCGGGTAGTGTCGCGGCTGGTACCGCTGCTGCTGCTGCTGCTGGTGGTTGTGGTACGGCTGCTGCTGCTGCTGCTGCTGCTGGTGGTGGTGGTGGTGCGCCGGCGGGTGCGACGGGTGCTGCTGGTAGAGCGAGCGGTACGCCGCCGCCGGTTGGCCCAGCGGCCCGTGCCACGAGTTTGGCTGCGGCAGAGGCACGCTCGAGCCGCTGTCGTACAGGAAGCTGTCGGAGATGAACGGACCTGGCGCCAGCTGCTGCTGCTGCTGCACCTGCTGCACCTGCTGCTGCTGCTTCTGAGCTGGGAAGCGGACGCAGCAGCTGCACGGAGCGCCGTACGGAAGATCGGGACGGTACGCGCCACAGCCTCCCGGGAACGTCGCCGCAAGCTGCCCGTCTGCCGCAGTGGCCGGGTTGAACGGAGCTCCATGGCTGCCATGGTGAGGATGCTGATGAAGATGCTGCTGCTGCTGCTGATGATGCTGATTCGGGTGAAGATGCTGTTGACGATTGGCGTGATGTTGTTGGCGCGAAGGGTGCGGAGGGTGCGAGGGATGATGCGGGGGCAGCTTCGACGGGCCCTGCACGGCGTACGCGTCGTGCTGGTAGTACTGCGCCTGGCGGTACTGCCCCGACGACGGGTCGCTCGCGATGCCGGGGTCGGAGTAGCAGCCCGCGCCGTACACGACGCCTGCGACGCCGCCGCCGCCGCCGCCGCCGCCGCCGCCGGTGGCGACGGAGGGCAGCATCGCGGCGCCATCCTGCGACGCTCCCGAGAGCGTGCGCAGCGAGTTGTACCCCGAGTCCTGCTGCGAGCACTCCTCGCCTCCCTCCGACCAGTCGAGCACTCCCCACGCGCCGACCGGAGCCGCCGTGCCGGTCCTCGTCTGCTGCTGCTGGAGCTGCTGCTGCTGCTGCTGCTGGAGCTGCTGCTGCTGCTGCTGCTGGTGGTGGTGGTGGTACCCGTGCGCCGGCTGATTCTGGAGCTGCGGGACGGCGAGCTGACTCGGCTGAAGCTGCTGCGCCTTCGTCGGCGTCGGCGGCAGCTGATGCTGGTGGTGGTGGTGGTGGCCGGGAAACGGCTTCGCCGGCGGCTTGCCGCTCTGATGCTGGACCTCGGCGGGCGCCGCATCCTTCCTGTGCGGGCGAGCGGTGGCACGCGACGGGCTGCCCGCGGGCGCCCCCCTGCCCTCCGACGTTCCTTCCGCTGCCCCCGCCACCTCCTGCTGCAGCTGCTGCTGCTGCTGCCCGGCAGCTGCCCTCAGCTCGTCGGCCACGGACAGTTGGATCTGGTTGGCGCGCTCCGGGTGGGAGTACTTGCACTTGTTGCCGAAGGTGCACTTCCTGCCGTAGGGGCACGGCACGCGCTTGTTCTGCGTCGGCACCGGCACCTTGCGCAGGAAGTTCTCCAGAGTGGGTCCGTCACGGCCCAGCGGGTCGTCGGGCAGCATGAACCTGCAGAAGACGACGACGACGATGAGGATGACGACGATGTCGTACACAAGACAAAGATCCCCCAGCATACCCTTTACAGGACTGTTCGGGACAAGTGCCGTTAGAGAGCACCAGAATTTAGAATATCAGAATGATGATTTTACTCTGGAGGAATCTGACGAGCCACGAAGCTCTTTTTCACAGATGGAACGGCACGGCACGCGACGGGGATGGGGTGGCCAGCATCACAACCCCCGGAAACCCCGTCTCCCCCAACGATGACGTTTACACCTCGCACGGCATCGGGTCCAATCCGTTCTCCTATAACGCTCATCTTTTCACAAAGCGCATTGAAATTCGTGGTCCGCCAGGCAAGTGTCTAACTGTGTTGTTGGCCTGACTGGTTTTGCATCACGTAAATTTTTACTTAGGTTTGTTGAATTCTCGTCTCTCATCTTCTTGCTGTATTTACCTCCGTGCAAGTTTAACGCTCTCTATGTGTCACGTTGGTGTCGCCCTATGTGCTCCCTCGCTATTTGTTTTTTACACCTGATGAAGATCGCTTGTGTTGCGGTCGAAACGTCGTGATTGATTTATTTTAATATAATTTTATGGTATTTCTACATACGTGACTTTACCGAAAAAAAACAATGAATATTTAACGCTGTCGAGCGAACGGAAGTCTGTCGCGCGCGAGTGGGGACGCGCGGTCGTGCGGCCGCCTCAGTGCAGCGTCACACAGCCAAATCACATCGGGATGCTGCTGGATGCTTCCAGAGCGGTGGTTCTCAACGCACCCCCTGGTGGTGCGGGACGAGGCCAGATTTGCTTTTTATAAGGCAAACCATCGAAAACACAAACTAAGCACTGGGCACGCGAGAGCAACTTTGTTCCACCAAACCCTTAGCATTTGTTAACACTGTACTGTTTCAATGATTGAGAACCAAAGGCTGCAGTCATGTTCTTAGCTCTTTCGGTAAAGTCACGTTCAAGGGAAACAATAAAATAATAAAATATATATAAAACAATACAAATTCTCACGACGTTTCGACCATAACACAAACGGTCGTCATCAGGTGTGAAAACCAACGGCAAGAAACATTTGAAAGAAGTGGCTGCCCGCATTAATTTATTTATTTCTAAACGGTGTGCTTATTTATTTATTTAAAAGCATCAGCGCCACGCACAGCGATTTGGCAGTTTGTTTAGAAGGACGAGTCCATCTATGTTCTGAAAAGAGGAGGGGGGAGACGAAAAATGTTATGTGTGCTGTCTGAAAGCCACCGTTAAGCGTGAACAATCAATTAAGACCTGAAATGGTTCGTCAAATCCTTCCAATGATTGCTAAGCCAGAATCCATCTTGGTCAAGAACCGCTGCTCTAGCCGCTCCCCACACACTCCCTCGGTCTTCGCTGGGCCCTGCGTGCTCCAGCATCCCGCGCCCGCTAAGTGCGGGCGGGCGGGCGGGCGGGCGGGCGTGCGTGCGTGCGGTGACTCACTTGTCGTTGACGAAGGAGTACATGAGCAGGCGCTCCTCGACGAAGCGTCGCCACTCGGCCCTCTCGCTCTGCAGGTCGCGGTAGTTGTCGTTGGAGACGATGACGCCGTCCGACTCGTGCGCCAGCCGCACGATGAAGCGGTCGTCGTAGCAGACGACGCGGCGGCCCTGCACGCGCCGCGACGGCGTGAACACGAGCACGCGGCGCCTCTCCAGCTCGGTCAGGATGTGCTGGTCTGCGCGGAGACCGGCAGGGGGGGGGGGGCAGGGTGGGGGGGGGGGGGGGAGACATGGTGAAGGTTCCGCCCCCTCCGCACCCACCGCCCCCCTCCGCACCCACCGCTCCGCACCGCTCGACTGGCGGGCAACGAAGGTGTGAGTCTATGGTGCAGTGTTGAGTCTATGGGTAGTGTTGAGTCTATGGTGCAGTGTTGAGTCTATGGGTAGTGTTGAGTCTATGGTGCAGTGTTGAGTCTATGGGTAGTGTTGAGTCTATGGGCAGTGTTGAGTCTATGGGCAGTGTTGAGTCTATGGGTAGTGTTGAGTCTATGGTGCAGTGTTGAGTCTATGGGCAGTGTTGAGTCTATGGGCAGTGTTGAGTCTATGGGTAGTGTTGAGTCTATGGGCAGTGTTGAGTCTATGGGCAGTGTTGAGTCTATGGGCTGTGTTGCATCTATGGTGCAGTGTAGAGTCTATGGTGCAGTGTTGAGTCTATGGTGCAGTGTTGAGTCTATGGTGCAGTGATGAGTCTACGGTGCAGTGTTGAGTTTATGGGCAGTGTTGAGTTTATAATGCAGTGTTGAGTCTATGATGCAGTGTTGAGTCTATGGTGCAGTGTTGAGTCTACGGTGCAGTGTTGAGTTTATGGTGCAGTGTTGAGTCTACGGTGCAGTGTTGAGTCTATGGTGCAGTGTTGAGTCTACGGTGCAGTGTTGAGTCTATGGTGCAGTGTTGAGTCTATGGTGCAGTGTTGAGTCTATGGTGCAGTGTTGAGTCTATGGTGCAGTGTTGAGTCTACGGTGCAGTGTTGAGTCTACGGTGCAGTGTTGAGTCTACAGTGCAGTGTTGAGTCTATGGTGCAGTGTTGAGTCTATGGTGCAGTGTTGAGTCTATGGTGCAGTGTTGAGTCTATGGTGCAGTGTTGAGTCTATGGTGCAGTGTTGAGTCTATGGTGCAGTGTTGAGTCTATGGGTAGTGTTGAGTCTACGGTGCAGTGTTGAGTCTATTGTGCAGTGTTGAGTCTATGGTGCAGTGTTGAGTCTACAGTGCAGTGTTGAGTCTATGGTGCAGTGTTGAGTCTATGGTGCAGTGTTGAGTCTATGGTGCAGTGTTGAGTCTATGGTGCAGTGTTGAGTCTACGGTGCAGTGTTGAGTCTACGGTGCAGTGTTGAGTCTACGGTGCAGTGTTGAGTCTACGGTGCAGTGTTGAGTCTACAGTGCAGTGTTGAGTCTATGGTGCAGTGTTGAGTCTATGGTGCAGTGTTGAGTCTATGGTGCAGTGTTGAGTCTATGGTGCAGTGTTGAGTCTATGGTGCAGTGTTGAGTCTATGGGTAGTGTTGAGTCTACGGTGCAGTGTTGAGTCTATTGTGCAGTGTTGAGTCTATGGTGCAGTGTTGAGTCTACAGTGCAGTGTTGAGTCTATGGTGCAGTGTTGAGTCTATGGTGCAGTGTTGAGTCTATGGTGCAGTGTTGAGTCTACGGTGCAGTGTTGAGTCTATTGTGCAGTGTTGAGTCTATGGTGCAGTGTTGAGTCTACGGTGCAGTGTTGAGTCTACGGTGCAGTGTTGAGTCTATGGTGCAGTGTTGAGTCTATGGTGCAGTGTTGAGTCTACGGTGCAGTGTTGAGTCTATGGTGCAGTGTTGAGTCTACGGTGCAGTGTTGAGTCTACGGTGCAGTGTTGAGTCTACAGTGCAGTGTTGAGTCTATGGTGCAGTGTTGAGTCTATGGTGCAGTGTTGAGTCTATGGTGCAGTGTTGAGTCTATGGTGCAGTGTTGAGTCTATGGTGCAGTGTTGAGTCTATGGTGCAGTGTTGAGTCTATGGGTAGTGTTGAGTCTACGGTGCAGTGTTGAGTCTATTGTGCAGTGTTGAGTCTATGGTGCAGTGTTGAGTCTACGGTGCAGTGTTGAGTCTATGGTGCAGTGTTGAGTCTATGGTGCAGTGTTGAGTCTATGGTGCAGTGTTGAGTCTACAGTGCAGTGTTGAGTCTATGGTGCAGTGTTGAGTCTACGGTGCAGTGTTGAGTCTACGGTGCAGTGTTGAGTCTATGGTGCAGTGTTGAGTCTACGGTGCAGTGTTGAGTCTATGGTGCGGTGTTGAGTCTACGGTGCGGTGTTGAGTCTACGGTGCAGTGTTGAGTCTATAGTGCAGTGGTGAGTCTATGGTGCAGTGTTGAGTCTACGGTGCAGTGTTGAGTCTATGGTGCAGTGTTGAGTCTACGGTGCAGTGTTGAGTCTATGGTGCAGTGTTGAGTCTATGGTGCAGTGATGAGTCTATGGTGCAGTGTTGAGTCTACGGTGCAGTGTTGTGGGGGGTGGGGGTCTCACCAGTGATGGGAGCGTCGGCTCGTGGCTGCTCCCGGCGCCAGGTCGGCACGAGCACTGTGACCTCCTTGTGGCCACGTTGCAGGAACCAGCTCACCGCCAGCTCGATGCCCCGGCAGGAAAACACCTCCTTGTTGCCGTGGCTGAAGCCGGAACGCCAGGGGTGGGGACAAGGGTGGGGGTGGGGTGGTAGGGGGGGTGGTGGGGGGGGGGGGGTGGTGGGGGGGGTGGTGGGGGGGGTGCATCGTCACGATTCGTCGTCGGAGCGCCGCCGTTAAAGCCGTGTAACGATCTGGCCAAAATGTGTGTTGTAAGACCCTCCGCCACCCAACGTGTTAACTACCTCGCCTGGTATGCAGGAGGTCGTGGGTTCGATCCCGACCCTGACGCCTGCTGCTGTATATTTGGAGTTTGCGTATCTCTCTCTCTCATCATCATCATCACGGTGGCTAGGAGATGTTAACTACCTCGCCTGGTACACAGGAGGTCGTGGGTTCCATCCAGACCCTGACGCCTGCTGTGTGGTTTTTTCTTTCCGGCCCTCGAGTTTTTCCCTCCACATTGAGAATTGGCGTGCGTTTCCCAATCAGCAGGCTCCGCATCTGGCGGCCGCGCCCTGCCGGCTCTCACCTCATCGCCACGTTGCTGCCGTCGATGACGATGTGACGCAGGTTGGAGCTATCGTCGGGGTCGAAGGGCGGCGTGGGATCAGCGGGCGGCTCCGGCTCTCCGCCCCCGCGCGCCACCAACACCCGCGACAGCCGCTCCTGCCCTGCAACGCGGACACCGACGGGGGCACGACGGGGACACACGGACACGCACACGGACATGCACGAGGACACACACACGGACACACACACGGACACGCACACGGACACGCACGAGGACAGTTAGCGAGCACTCGAGAACGAACGACAAACTTCAGCAGACCGGCCGCCCCCGGTAAACAGTGCGGTGTGCGGGTTCAACCGCGGGACCCCCTACACGCACGCATGCACGCGTCATCTGCCACGTGGGGTGAGGTCGCCCCCGCACGTCCGATGAGCACGGTTGACTACGTACGGTGCGTAAACAAGTTCAACAGACGTACATATACAGTGAAACCTTGGATTGCGAGTAACTTGGTCTGCGAGTCTTTTGCAAGACGAGCACATTTTTTTAATAAATATTAATTTGATAAACGAGCAAGGGTCTTGCAATACGAGCAGTACGTACAAGTATACGCTTCGTCTGCCGAGCGTCACGTGATCACAACCGAGCCGATGATTCTTCTCTCTCTCTCGCTGCGGGATTGTGGGTAATCATCTCCCATGCTCGGTCTCAGTCGGCGTGCCTCACTCGTATAGTCAACATCCGTGCGAGCGTATACTGTTTACTATAGTACTATAGTGTTGTGACTACGTGTATACTGTTTACTGCAGTACTGTAGTGTTGTGACCACGTGTATACTCTTTACTATAGTACTATAGTGTTGTGACCACGTGTACACTGTTTACTACAGTACTATAGTGTTGTGACCACGTGTATACTGTTTACTATAGTACTATAGTGTTGTGACCACGTGTACACTGTTTACTACAGTACTATAGTGTTGTGACCACGTGTATACTGTTTACTGCAGTACTGTAGTGTTGTGACCACGTGTATACTGTTTACTGCAGTACTATAGTGTTGTGACCACGTGTATACTGTTTACTATAGTACTATAGTGTTGTGATCACGTGTATACTGTTTACTACAGTACTATAGTGTTGTGACCACGTGTATACTGTTTACTACAGTACTATAGTGTTGTGACCACGTGTATACTGTTTACTGCAGTACTATAGTGTTGTGACCACGTGTATACTGTTTACTATAGTACTATAGTGTTGTGACCACGTGCATACTGTTTACTATAGTACTATAGTGTTGTGACCACGTGTATACTGTTTACTACAGTACTACAGTGTTGTGACCACGTGTATACTGTTTACTACAGTACTATAATGTTGTGACCACGTGTATACTGTTTACTACAGTACTATAGTGTTGTGACCACGTGTGTGTGCGAAAAGCATTTTTTTTATTTTGTGTCCAAGTGTAGTGACTGTTCTTTAGTAACTGTACTGCAACAATGCCCCCCAAAAGCAAGTGTCATTGGGATAGGTTCCTTGTTCAAGTCGCACAAAAATAAAAAAGATTCCAGTGAGCCAACAGATGGTAGTGATTCCGTTAGTGACAGTGAAAGTCGCCCTACACAATAACCCTCCTCCTCCCCCTCTCCCCTCTCTCTCGTCTCCCTCACACCAGCCACGATTAAATGTAGTTAATACATTTTGAATATTTCATATTAAATTTAAATAGTAAAAATATAAAAAAGGTTTTTTTGTATTAATAATTTTGGGTTGTGGAACGAATCATCTGAGTTTCCATTATTTCTTTGATGTACGAGTGCTTTGGATTACAAACACGTTTCCGGAACGAATTATGCTCGCAATCCAAGGTTTTACTGTATATACCATCGCTACCTCATCATCACCACTCCATCATCACCATCCTGGCCACCTCACCATCGTGGCCACTGGAGCTATATACACTTTTAAATCTAGATTGGGAAAACTAATTTCTTTAGCACTGCTTTTTGTGTTCAGCGTTGTTGTCCTTCCCCCGCTACGTACGGTGCGGAAGAAGTTCAACGTACACCAGGGACGGAGCCAGGATTCTGACTTTGGCGGGCGGGGGGGGGGGGCTGACTTCAATATTCTGAGATATTATTCTTGTTTAAAATCACTCGATTTTTATACATCTCAATGGTGACGTCGTGCCAACCCCCCCCCCCCCGCCACCGCCCTCGACACTTGCATGCCGGTGCACAGGGACAGCTGCCACTGGGGGTCCCCCCCCCCCCGCCCCCACCTCTAGGCTACGCTGCGGCGGCAGGGTGGTGGAACGGTTGCCGATGCAAAGCGCCGCGGTTTGAATGCCGCGGCATTCAAGCGAGCGACACCGTGCCACGTCGCACCTTATCTGTGGGTCCTCCGCGCGAGGCCACGGGTCTCCCCCGCTGATCTCCGAGTCTACCGCCCTCTACGTCAGTCTATGGGTCTCTGTGCGGGTCCATTGGAAGTGGGGGGGGGGGGGGTAGTGGGGGGTGGTGGTCAGGGGGTCCCCCCTTTGCGCCAACGACCGAGACGACTGAACGTGGCGCTCGTCACCATCACCCTCCTCGTCCCCCTCGTCAAAGTCACCTTCGTCGTACGCTGACGAAGCCGCCGCTCCCCTCGCCTTGCCGCCGGCGGCCGCCCCTTCGGCCGGCGCCGGCGCGGCCGCTCCGTGCTTGAGCAGCTCCTCCAGCAGGGTGTTGTGCAGGGGGGCGCCCCCCAGCCGGCCGATGGCATCGCGGACCTGCGACTCGGAGTAGCCGAGCTTGCGCGCAAAGTCCAGGCACAGCTGGTAGCTCGACTCGTAGCCCGGCGGCGCCGCGCCGCCCGCTTCCTCCTCGCCCGCCGTCGTCCTCCCGGCGTCACCGGCGGCGGCGGCGGCGGCGTCGTCGCGGCGATCTCCGGCCGCCGCGGCGGCGGAGTCCGGGGAGCACAGCGCCACGATGTAGTCCTGCGGAAGACGCGCGTCAATTCGTTACCGTCCTCCCGGTTTCGACCGTTCAACCGCCGTCACCGCCGCCGTCATCGTCATCGTGATCGTCATCGTCATCGTGATCGTCATCGTGATCGTCGTCGTGATCGTCATCGTCATCGTGATCGTCATCGTGATCGTCATCGTGATCGTCATCGGGACTGCCGTCGGCGTGGCTCGCCGATCGGCGCAGGGGTTCGCGGTTCGGAGCACGGCAGGCCGCCCCCCCCCCCCCCCCCCCCCGGTTAATGCTGCGGGGGTGCGTTCACTTTAAAGCACGACGGAGCCGTTGGCTTCGCTCGCTGCGGACGTTGAAGCTCCCCGCCACTGCCAGCAGCACCAGCAGCAGCAGCAGCACCAGCAGCAGCAGCACCAGCAGCAGCAGCAGCACCAGCAGCAGCAGCACCAGCAGCAGCAGCACCAGCAGCAGCAGCACCAGCAGCAGCAGCAGAAGGACTTCCACCAGCGGTGGCGTAGGTGAGCGACCGCAGGGGCTGCACCCTTTATACCTTCTAAATCGAATGAGCCGGGCAGCAGGCAGCAGCAGCAGCTACAACATCGCGATGCTTTTCATAACCATCGGAAAAACCCCTGGGGGTGACGACCTCCGTGAGCTTTGACGCGCCCCCGATGGTAATCCTTGCTGCGTGCACTGAAGCACGGTAAGTGTGTGCGTGGGTGTGTGTGCGTGTGTGTGCGTGCGTGTGCGCGTGTGTGCGCGTGTGTGTGCGTGTGCGCGTGTGTGTGTGTGCGCGTGTGTGCGCGTGTGTGTGCGTGTGTGTGCGTGCGTGTGCGCGTGTGTGCGTGCGTGTGCGCGTGTGTGCGTGCGTGTGCGCGTGTGTGCGTGCGTGTGCGCGTGTGTGCGTGCGTGTGCGCGTGTGTGCGTGCGTGTGTGCGTGCGTGTGCGCGTGTGTGTGCGTGTGTGTGCGTGTGTGTGTGCTGACCACCCCACCCCCTCGCGTGCCGTGCCGGCCTTCACCGGTGCTACTCGCCAACAGCACTGGACCCGACAGTGTGGTAAAGGCTACACGGGGGCTCTTTGCTGAACGCGACGAGGTGATGTTGAAGAATTAACACGTGGTCTCACGACCGGAAAGCACACGGGCAGGAATTTCCCGGGCAAACGAGTTTTTGTCGAATTAAAAAATAAATTAATAAAGACCACACAAAACTCCAGAGATCACCCGTATAGCCTGTAACAGACTGTAGGGGCAAGTGCTGTTAGCCAGCACCTACGAAGGCCGGCACGGCGCACGAGGGGGTGGGGGCGGACAGGACCTCGCCCGACCGCCTTTGTCTCCCCAGTGGCGATGCATTTTATACACCGCAGCAGGTTACTCATTTCATCCTGAGTAAACCTAGAAGAGGACTAATTTACGATGAATAATAGATCACAGAGCTTCGATCGCAACGCAAGCAATCGTCATCAGGCGGAAGGAAGAGGCGAGAAGCTGCTGATCCAGGCTGCTTTTCGCCTGAAGACGATTGCTTGCGTTGCGATGGAAACGTCGTTATCCATTATTATTTCCTACCTACGTGATGACTTTAGCGGAAGAACCAAAGAGCATGGATTGCTGCAGTCACGAAAGCTTCAAATCAAGATTGAATTTATGACTAGTTCCATAGACTCGTATAGAGACCGAGAGACTCGCTCAGAGACTCTGAGACTTCCAGACAGCCAGACTCACACAGTGACCTAGAGACTCACAGAGAGCCACAGACTCACACAGTGACCCAGAGACTCACAGAGAGCCAGACTCACACAGTGACCCAGAGACTCACAGAGAGCCAGACTCACACAGTGACCCAGAGACTCACAGCCACAGATTCGCACAGTGACCCAGAGACTCACAGAGAGCCACAGACTCACACAGTGACCCAGAGACTCACAGTGAGCCACAGACTCGCACAGTGACCCAGAGACTCACAGAGAGCCACAGACTCGCACAGTGACCTAGAGACTCACAGAGAGCCACAGACTCACACAGTGACCCAGAGACTCACAGAGAGCCACAGACTCACACAGTGACCCAGAGACTCACAGAGAGCCACAGACTCACACAGTGACCCAGAGACTCACAGAGAGCCACAGACTCGCACAGTGACCCAGAGACTCACAGAGAGCCACAGACTCGCACAGTGACCCAGAGACTCACAGAGAGCCACAGACTCGCACAGTGACCCAGAGACTCGCAGAGAGCCACAGACTCAGTGACTCAGAGACTCACAGAGAGCCAGACTCACACAGTGACCCAGAGACTCACAGAGAGCCACAGACTCGCACAATGACCCAGAGACTCACAGAGACCCACAGACTCGCACAGTGACCCAGAGACTCACAGAGAGCCACAGACTCGCACAATGACCCAGAGACTCACAGAGAGCCACAGACTCGCACAGTGACCCAGAGACTCACAGTGAGCCACAAACTCACACAGTGACCCAGAGACTCACAGAGAGCCACAGACTCACACAGTGACCCAGAGACTCACAGAGAGCCACAGACTCGCACAGTGACCCAGAGACTCACAGAGAGCCACAGACTCACACAGTGACCCAGAGACACACAGAGACTCACAGAGAGCCACAGACTCACACAGTGACCCAGAGACTCACAGAGAGCCACAGACTCGCACAGTGACCCAGATACTCACAGAGAGCCACAGACTCACACAGTGACCCAGAGACACCTAGAGACTCACACAGTGACCCAGAGACACAGAGAGAGACACTCAGAGACTCACGGAGAGCCTCTGAGTGTCTCTGTAGTGACCCAGAAAGCGGAGAGAGACCATCACCCCACGTTGCCTTTGTGGTGCATGGATCGACGAGCCCCCCACCCCCAATCCCCCCACCACCCCCCCACCTTGCACCGCCGTCAATGTTATCAGCTGAGAATTCGGGGCGGGGCGGTGGGGGGGGTTAACAAAAAAGACCGCACGGTGGACTTCGAAGCCTTCTTCAACCGCAGCCAGGGCCAGGGAGGGCCGGGGAGGGCCAGGGAGGGCCGGGG